TATATATATATATTAGATATTAGGAACTATTTTGCCCCCCGGAGTTCATCGATAACAGCTTCAAGATTCTGCCCTTCGGTGCCAATTTTCGTCTGGAGACGACACCAGCCGAGATGCACAAAATAGCAGCCGCGCCAACCGCGGCTACAGCGCCGGCTGGAGCATTGGAGGCACCGCTGGCAGCGCCCAAATATGGCACACTCATACCCAATCGCATATTTGTGGGCGGCATAAGGTAAGCACTGGAATATCGACAAAATACAAAAAATTACCTAAAAGATACCGATAAGGTAGGCAATGGAATACCGATAAAATATAAAAAGTACCGATAAAATACTACAAATAATTAAATATACCGATAAACTACTAAAAATACCGATAAAATACCGACAAAATACTAAGAATACCAATAAAATACTACAAATATGCCGATATATGCTAAAAATACCAATAAAATACTAAAAATATACCAGAAATATAAAAAATGCTAAAAAATTACCAAAAAACATGTATATGCATATGCGAACTCTAATCAATTATTTCTCCCCATTACAGTGGTGACACCACCGAGGCGGATCTGACGCGCGTCTTTAGCGCCTACGGCACCGTAAAGAGCACAAAGATCATCGTGGATCGTGCCGGCGTCAGTAAAGGCTATGGATTCGTCACATTCGAGACGGAGCAGGAGGCGCAAAGACTGCAAGCGGACGTAAGTCGAAAATGAACATTAACTACTGCACTCTTCTATGCACTTTTGCTAATGTCGCTTGTGTTTATCGATTTATGATTTATCGAGAAATATTCACACCCACCACACACACACACAGATACCTACATACACACTCAAACACATATATATTTTAAACTCGCTCTCACTCAAACAGCTGCAAAAAAAAAATCAAACCAAACTACAAAAAAAAGTTATAATGTGCCTCCGAATCTTTTAGGGCATTAGCTGACCCACAGACAGCGACGTCGCAACCAGCGTGTGAACGAATATTTATCGTTTATTCGATATATCGATTGTGTGTATCGATCGACGGTACGAGTAACGGCACTTGTAATTCTCTTATGTATTTTACTTGTATTTTTCTTCTAATTGCGTTTTTGTTGAGTTACGTTTACGAGTTACGTTTCCGTTGCGTTACGTTACGTTACGTTACATTACATTATATTACAAATTCATCACAAACACACACACACAACCAAATACACACACACACACCTGTACACTTAACATAGTTTTAGTGAATCGAATTGCATTTGTTGGCTCGTTAGCTCGACGGCTGTCCCGTTGATGTTTTTTTGCTATCGATACCTGTGCTATCGATAACAATCAAGTTGCGTTTGGCGTTGCGTTGTGCACCTGTTCTAATTTCTTTTTCTTTTATCATTTAATTGTATTCTCTCTGTTAACTTTTACTATGCGCAAATTAATCAAATTAGCTAATTGCCCACGCCTCGGTCTTGTTTATATAGTGTAAATGCGTATATAGCGTAGACCTCATATATATCTAGATCTTTTTCTATATATGTATATACATTGTATATGAAGCTCTAGACCCTAGTGCATTATTTATTTCTTTCCGCTGTACAATTTGATACGAAACTTTAATCATTTTTATTTTGCGATCTTTTTTATACTAATTATCATTGTGTGGGCTGTGGGCAGGGGCGTGGCAGCTTGTCATCATTAGCGTTAGCCCCTACACGTGTGGCGGATATCAATGGGTGGATTACCTGCTGCATAACCCTATCCACAGGGAAAGAGAGAGCGAGAGGGCGATAATGCCTCCTAACCCCTTCTCCAACACCCTGACACCCTCATCGCTTTCCAAGGTCCCCAATATAGTCAAATATTCTCTCAGCTTTATTGCGAATAAATTGAACCCTCTAATAAAACCCACACAGTCTGTTACCCTCTTCATTTACCTGGTATTACTCATCCCCCAGTTCTCCTTATATATACCTTGTCGGTTTCATAGAGCGCCTTATTAAGTCGCGACACTTCTCCTACACTTACCTTTGCCCCTATTTAAAAACCTCTTGCCCCCTATAATATTTCCCACTTTCACTTTCATGTAGCCTCTTCATCTTCAAGTCGAGTTTCTTTATATAGTCAAGCTTATGTGCGCTTTGATCTGCTTCATAAATATATTTATAGACAGAAAGAGAACCGAGTAGTAGGTAACACCCTCTGTCAGCCATCTCACTTCCCAGTCCGTCCCTTGCTCTTGCTCCATCTTTACTAAGTCTAGTTCAAGCTATTGTCCCAGAAAGAAACTAATCGACCAACAAATTTCCCAATAAACCCACGAGAAATACCTTTGTGTTAGCCTCCTTTTACTTTTTTCTGCTCATTTCCTCTCTACCATTCCTCTTACCTGCTCTCGTCTCTCCCTCTTCCAAGGCTAGTGCCTAAATATAGACAAGCTATTGTCTGATTCTCGCAGTTGCGTAAAGAGAGGCAGAGAGGCACTTTTACCTTGTTCTTTCCTACCTCTTCCCTTGCTATACTCTGGCTCTTCCCTCTCCCTCTGGCTTCTCCAGGTCTAGTTCCTAAATAAAGTTAAGCTTCTTTTCTCGCTGTCATAGCGCGAAAGCCTTATTAGAAATCGTATTGCATTTTGATTAGAGCGTGTTGCATAACAACCTCAGCAGCAGCTGCCAGCAGCTACATCTCTGCCCCAACGCCTGCTCACGGCTCCTTTCCCTCTGCCCCTTTGTGCATCCCTTTGTATCTTCTTTTGTGTTTCCTCTCTGTATGTGTGTGTGTGTGTGTGGCATACATTAAGTGAAAAAGTTTTCCACTTGTCATTAAATGTGCATTGTTATTGCGCTGCTGGCGCTTTGCACATTTTCAGTGTAACACAAACACACTTACACACACATACACACACATAGCTCTCTGAATATGTGTGCGCTTGTCCTTGTCTACTTATATGGATGCCATGCCCACACTCACTAAACGCCCATCTCCTTAGGCWAAATAACAATGGAGCCCTGCCAACCAGCCAGCCAGCCAGCCGTGGCAACGTTTAACGAGGTTTTAATGCGAAACAACACCAACCAGCCAACCAACCTAGCAAACCACTCAGACTCACACACACACGCGCATCTATATATACATGCATTCTACACACACACACACACACATATATATATATATGCACCCACACATGCTTACATTTTGCTCTAATTAAATTTCGTTTAACCAAAATTTTCTGTTCAAGTCTAGCCTATAGCAGTTCCCCCAAATAGAGTTTAGCCTGGTCTCCTGACATATATACCCAACAGCTAACATTACAAATATACTCTTTCACACTCTCATCACACACACACACACACACGCCTCATTGTTCCCTTGACATTTGCTAAATGTTTTGGATAGCCCATTAAATACATCAATTTGTAGAGAAACTATTACAAAGGTGTACTAAACACACGAAATTCTTGGGAATTGAATCGTATTAACACAGGCTGGCATTCGATATCGATATAGCATATATTAAACAAATTTAATATATTAAAAAGTCTACTATAAGTTGTTAAACTAAAGTCGTAAAAACGTAACCTAAATTTAGTCTAGAAAGCAGGAATAATCGATCTCAATTGAAATCGGAAAGTAGAAGAGGAATTTAAGAAATTAAAAAAGCTATAAACCTATGTGAGTTATATATTGGAGGTCTAGTCTATTCTATCATTCAATTAGATCTTAACGAATTGAAGCCATGAATATGAATTCAAAGCAGAAACTAGAAAAGATTCTAGTTGAAATTACATCTATTACTAAATTAAATTTGAGCTAAGATTCAATCTTCACTTGATTCAGTAATTAGAAAAGATTTGCCGAGATGTAGGCAGGATGCTGAGCAGCTAATTAGTAATCCCAATAGATCATTCGAGTTAAGTTTCAGATGCGAATTCAGCACACGTTGAAATCATATGAAATGGAAGCAATAATTGAAAGATTAAATAAGAACTACACGCATCAATAAACAAACATGACGTACATACACACACATGCACATACGCATATACCCAACACACACACACACGCACCCATAACATCACATACACACTTGGACCTTTTCAACGACCTTTTCCCACTTCAAGAGGCAAATGAAAAAATTGAATTGCAACTTTTTGATGGAAAGCGTTTTTTTTTTTAATGTAAATAGGATTATATTAATATATATGTATACTACATATATATATAAAATATATATGACCGATCATTATAAGGAGGTAGTAGTGGGGGCTTCAATTTGCTGTTTGCCACACTTTATAAATGGACCAGTAAAACGTCTGCTGTTGTCCTTTTTGTATGCGCGTGTGTGTGTGTGTGTGTGTGTGTGTTGGCAACAAAGGAGCAGCCGCCCCCCGCATTTGAGGCTCGTTTTGAGGGTTCTTAATTAAATTCGTCCAAGACAAAAGTGGGTCGTCCTGCTGCTGCTGCTGCTGCGGCCAACTCTTTTGCCTTTGCCTTAGCCTTTTCTCATTTTTATTATTCAACTGTGTGTATGTGTGTGTGTGTGTGTGGGTCGGCCCTTTGTGTTGCGCAGCGCTTATCCTTGCTGACGTCCTTTATGATGGTGCTCAAATGAAAAGACGTCGCTGCTCTCTCCGCCCCAGCCTCTCTCCCACTCCCCCACTCCCACTCTCTCTCCCCCCATCTATTTCTCTCTGTGTGTTTGCCCAGCGGCGGTCAAAGAAGGATACAGCAGACTCGAGTCTCGAGACTCGAAACGCACAAATGAATAAAAAATTTGAGGCGGCACAAGTCCGTCGCTGCAAGAACTTTAAGAAGAGAGCAAACATTTGCTTAGGATCTGCTCGGCCCAACCGCCCACCCACCCGCCAAGCGAATGTGGTCGAGCCAGCCGCTCGCTGGTGCGCGGGGCAGCGCTTGAAGTGCGTGGTGCGCCCATTATGATGGCCTTTCATGCATTTCAAGTGCAAATTGCTGCGGCTATCAGCGCCTAATTGGCAATTAAAGATAAACCTGACCCATGTAACCAACCGCAACTGACAGCCGGCAACAGACAGGTACAGTGGAGACCCATTACAATGGCCAGACGGCCTTATCAATAGCTAGAGAATGAAATTTAATGGCATATGAAAGCGACATCTACAGTAGAGGGTGACTATAATGGCAGATGAAAGAGGCTTTAGATTAGTCTTTTCTTTCGTTCAACTTATTAGAGCCTGTTTCTTTGTAGGAAAGTAAAAGAATAGTATTTCTCCGCCTTTCAGAGCGAAAACCTTTTGAACCCTTTCTATGATATTAAATTACTTTAACTAGCTGGGAGCCCTTGTAATTGTGAAACGAGTGGCAGCTCTAACTCTTTATCTATTATTAGAAGCATACCCTTATATCTACCTACCCATCCTTCTTTTAGTCAGGTATCAGCTCTGTAAAGAACATAGAACTAATTATGTATTACCCTGGCAACTCTGAAAATGAACTAGGTGGCAACGCACAAATGGCAATTAAAACAATACTCTGTTTTTAATTAGTAACTCCAACTATTCAGTCCAAAAGACGCGTCCTACATTGGGGTGGCAACCCTATCGTGAAATGTATGTGGTTTTTTATAGACTTCAATCATATTCATACGGATTCCTATAGCAAATTTATTAAAATCAGGTGCAACTCTAAGTGGTTCCATTTTTGGTGTGTAAAAATCGAGATCTTTTCAACTAACTCACAACAAAAAACGCAATCATTTGTCATATTTTGAGGTTAGTTTATTTGGAAGTAACTTGTGTTGTAACTGTACATTTGTTGGACCTTTAATTTTGGTGTTGGCGTTCGTAAATTTTAAACATTTATGATAATAGCTGTTAATTTGAATTGAATTGAATGTTGCGGGTGTTGCCAATTGGCATATAAAAACTTTGATTGAAAAGAAACCAAAAACCGAAAGCTTGAATCGAAACGCTTTATATATACACACACACATACATGTATATGAATATATTTGATATATTTATATAGGTATTTTTAGTTTGTTTTTTATGTTGTGTTTTAAGAACAAAGAAACATCTTTCATTTCAAGCAAATTCCAATACGAATTGCAGTACATGACATTTTGTAATAATGCTACACACACTCTATATACTATCTGAAGTTGATATGTATACATACGTATATATATAT